TATTTTTCTTCCATGTGGGAAGGTTTGTACAATTTCACCTGTTGCATTTAAACAGCCCATTCATTTGATCCAAAAAATAAACAAGTGTCTGCCTCTGGTTTGGCTGTTTATGACAATTTATTCCCTCATGATCGTGAAGCTCTAAAAATATTATGTAAGGACTCTGATATTGCGATTAGGATTTCTGACGGGGGAGTGGTTGTTGCTCTGGATGTTTTTTGATTTGGATACTAATGTTAAGTTAAAGGGTAACTCCACCAACACATTCAAGAAGGACCTACAATCTCTTACATCTAGAGGGGAAAAGGTGAGCATTTGTGAAGAGGAAGAAGAATGGTTTGAATCAGATGATGCCTGTGTTCCTGCATCAAACCAAAACTCACAAGAGTTTAGAGCCTTTATTGGAGAGACCATTTGTTGCAGGCATAGGTTCCCTAAATGAATGTTTAAGCCAATCGGTAGATCACCAGTTACAGCAATTTCTCATCAGCCTGCCTGATATCTTAGAAATACTAAGCAGTTACTTAATAAGTTGAGAGGCTTTCCTTGGTATGAGGATGTGTAAGTAACACATGAAGTTTCCAGCCTGTATTTTTCCATTCTACATACACTGGGATTCCAGGTGGTCTCATACTTATTGAAACAGCACAGCAACTATTCCTTGGTTCAGAAGGAGTTACTTTTGCATGTCTTGGAATATTTGTGTTTCATGGGGTCCACTACTTAGAGAGATGTGGGGCGGCTATGGGAACTAAGTTTCCCTTCTCTTGCTAGCCTATATATGGGTTGGTGGGAGAGAACCTGCATCTTTGGTGATGATAACCCTTATCATTCTTCTTTTATACTTTATTTTCATTATATTGATGATTTGCCATTTGTTCCAAAGGTATTGGGACCCTGGAGAATTAGTATTCATATTTAAATAACAAAAATGTAAAAGGTTTTCTGGCCAAATGGAAGCTGTCTTTATTTCTTTTTTTTTTAATGGGCAGGTTGTTTCAGAGTTTTATAGGAGGACCCTAGCCTGTAAAACCTTTTGCAAACAGATTTGGGACATCCCACTTAAACCCTGAGGGGCATACCAGCTGGTCAATTTATGAGGCTGCATCTCATTTACATTATTGATAAAAATAGCTAGGCTCAGGTGATGTGGGAGCATTTCCAACTGTGGGGTTATCTGATACCCATACTCAGAGACCTCTGTATTGCCAGAGAAAAGTATAGAAAGGAGTTGCTGGAGGACAGGCATAAAGAAAAATAGAGGGAGGTTGTTCCAGTTTTTTCTAATGCTTAGAATATGGAGTTCGATAAGGTTAAATCTATTGTATTAGGATAATTGCCATTTCTCGATAATGACAGTGTTTATTCACAAATACTGTCTAAAATGGTATTAAGACTGCTAGCTCAATCTTTGGGTAGCTATTAATCTCCAAGTTGTTTTTCCAGCAAAATTGGGAGGATGACTAACTGGGGGACATACCAAGAGTCTGATAAGGGTTTTGGTGGGGACCCCATGCCATTTGTTTTTAAATATTTGGTGTGGGGTTTCCCTCAAAATCCATACCAGACCCTAAGGGCCTGGTATGGATTGGGGGGTCCCCCACTGTGTTTTTTAATTATTTTTTTTAATGCAGGTACTTGTTTTGTTTACATTCTGCTGTCAGCAAATGATTGTTAATTTTATTCCGTTGCATCAAAAATATTGAATCCTTTTGAATAGTTTAAAAAAACTGCAAATTTTTTCAGATCCACCCAGACCAATGAATATACAAAACAAATGCTGAAGATACTAAACAAATTTTGAAAATTAATCAGTTCAGCATAGCGAATATGACAAAATAAAATTATTAAATGAATGAATACATCCAAACGGAAATGAAAATGTTTTTGCACGCACATGTCTATTGTGTTCCCCTATAATACTTTTTTTTAAATGATTTGCATTAAAAAAAACACTCCTAGTGCTTAATTAACCACTTGACCTCCACAGAATTTACCCCCCTTAATGACCAGGCCTCTTTTTGCTACTTGGCGCTGCACTAATTCAACTGATAATTGCGCGGCCATGCAATGCTGCACCCAAACGAAATTTACGTCCTTTTTTTCACACAAAATAGAGCTTTCTTTTGGTGGTATTTGATCACCTGTGCGCTTTTTATTTTTCACGCTATAAACAAAAAAAGGCCAAAAATTTTGAAGAAAAACAATATTTTTGGCGCATGCGCGACCAGGGATGATGTCGGACGCGAATTGCTGAGCTCCGCTCATCCCCGGCCAGTAGTGACTCACCCGCTCCGCTCCACAGCATATTCTCTGCTACATATAATGTCAAGGGCCTCAACTCCATTCAAAAACGGTGGATGGCTTTGAAGGAATTTCGATCCTCAGGAGCAGACATTATTTTTGTCCAAGAGACCCATTTCAAATCATCTGGCTCCTTTCGTTTTGCCTCAAGATTTTTTTCCCAAGCCTATTCGGCCTTTGATCCTTCCGGGAAGGCCAGGGTGGCAATTTTGATTGGTCACACTGCTCCCTTCGGGTTGTTTCCTCCAAGGTTGACCAACAGGGTCGCTTTATTATTTTGGAATGTATGCTTGGTGACACTCCCCTTGTTCTGTTGAATTTATACGCCCCAAATACGGGTCAATTGCAATTCCTTTCCCAAACACTCGCTGACCTAGATTCCCTTTCCACTTTGCAGGTGATTGTTGGGGGTGATTTTAATTTGATTTTTTTCCCCCCATAAAGACAGGAAGGTTCTTTTTGAGTCCACACCCTCAAAGCGGCAATGTTCCTCTTCAAAATCTTTTCGTAGACTGATAAGGGAGCATCGTCTCTTCGACGCTTGGCGGATTAAACACCCCCTCCATAAACAATTCACTTTCTACTCCACCCCTCACCGTAGTTACTCCCGTCTAGATCACTTTTTCATCTCTGCCCCACTGCTTTCACTTCTGGTTTCTTCTGAAATCAACCCCATCACTTGGTCTGACCATGCCTCTTTGACTATAAACCTTTTTTTTTTCCTCCTGTTATACCCAAACCATGTCATTGGCGCCTTAATGAGACCTTTCTTTCCACAGACTATCTTAGAGATGAACTGTCACAGGGACTTGATACCTACTTTACACACAATGTTGGCTCCGTTGCCTCTTCCTCAACTCTGTGGGAGGCCCATAAGGCGGTCTTTCGAGGACTCTGTATTTCTATGGGTTCTCGTTTAAAAAAGTCCTCCGCGAGTGCTGGGGCCTCTCTTATACATCAGCTATCTTTTAACGGAACGACGGTTACTGGCCAAGCCATTCATTTCTGGGCTCCAGAGGGTAACATCTCTACGGGACCGAATTAAAGTTCTCGACTCCAGTAAGACTGCACAATCCCTCCTCTGGGTTAAGCAGAAATTTTATGAATTTTCCAACAAACTTCATCGTATGTTAGTCAATCGACTCAAAGCTCAGTCCACTTCTACGATGCCTGACCTTTTAATACAGCCAAATGGAAGCCTTACCTATGACCCTCGGGATATGGCAACCCTTTTTGGCTCATTCTATGGGAAACTGTATAACTGTTTGACCCCAGACCTTCACCCGCCCCTCACACAGTCATCGTTTGATAATTTTTTTGACCCTTTGTCACTTCCGAGAATATCACCTTCAGACATTGCCACCCTTAATGCTGACATTACGCTAGAGGAATTACTGGACACAATTAAACATCTCCCCTCTCGTAAAGCCCCAGGACCGGATGGATTGCCCTACTCCTATTATAAATCTTTTATTGGTATTCTGGCCCCTCATCTCCTCTCTTTTTATCGAGATCTTTTCAAGGGGGTCACACCCCAGACTGAATTCTCCCCGTGCATATATCTCGGTTATCCCTAAACCCGATAAAGATCACTCTATTGTAGACAACTACCGCCCCATTGCCCTACTTAATTCTGATTACAAGATTTTCACTAAAATTTTGGCCAACCGACTTATTTCCAAACTCATACATAGGGACCAAGTGGGCTTTGTACCTGCCAGACACGCTGCAGATAACACCAGGAGATCTATTGATCTGGTTGACTTGGTTAACCGATCCTCTACCCCTGCTGTGTTATTGAGCTTGGACGCTCAAAAAGCTTTCGACCGTTTAAGTTGGCCTTACATGTTCATGGTCTTGGAGAGATTTGGTTTTAGAGGTCCATTTGTAGCAGCCTTGAAGGCCCTTTTTTATCCCCCTTCTCGCAAGTCAGATTAGCTTCTTTTCTTTCACTTCCCTTTCAGATGTCAAACGGCACACGTCAGGGTTGCCCACTCTCTCCCTTGCTGTTCATTCTTTGTCTGGAACCATTAGCCATCGCCATCAGGTCGAATCCGGATATTCGCGGGATACAATCCCATTCCCATGAGTACAAGTTATCGTTATTTGCAGATGACATCCTCCTCACACTTACGAGCCCCCACACCTCCTTACCGATTTTGCATAAGACTCTGAAACAATTTGGGGCTATATCAGGCTACAAAGTCAACACGTCCAAAACTGAGGCACTCCCAATACATGTCCCACCTGCCGTTCTATCCTCGCTTCAGGAAGCCTTTCCCTACAGGTGGTGCATGCACCCATTCTTTAAAATATTTAGGTACTAATCTTACTTCCTCTTACCAATCCATATACGAGGCCAATTTCCCCACACTCTTTATAGCAATTTCTCGCTCTCTGAAACATTGGGATGCCTTGCCCATCTCTTTCCTCGGACGCATCAACGTCTTAACTAGTTGCCGACCGCAGATAGCTGAATGACGGCTTCCCTGCGGCCGGCCAGTTCTGGGTGGACGTCATATGATGTCCCCCCAGAACGCGCTCTCCTGCGCGCCCCCAGGGGGCACGCACCCGGCGATCTCCATGATCGCTGTGTCCTAGGGACACAGCTGATCACGAGATGTGGTAAAAGGCCGATCAAACCGGCCTTTTACCACGTGATCAGCAGTGTACAATGACACGCTGATCACAGGGAAATGCAAGTGCCGGTTCCTCGGCTGCACTTTCCTCACACTGTCAGATCGTGAGGAAAGTACTGCCGAGAACTGCCAGTTGTCAGAGCGAGGATCGGCACCGATCATCAGGGCCACTGATGATCAGTGCCCTGATGATCGGTGCCCAGCAGTGCCACCCGCAAGTTCCACCCACCTGTGCCCAGTAGTGCGCCCACTAGCTCCACCCACCTGTGCCCAGCAGTGCACCCACCTGTGCCCAGCAGTGCACCCACCTGTGCCACTCTGCAGTGTCACACACCTGTGCCCAGAAGTGCCACCTGCCTGTGCCCAGCAGTGCCACCCACCTGTGCCCACCCACCTGTGCCCACCAGTGCCACCCACCTGTGCCCACCCACCAGTGCTGTCCACCAGTGCCACCCACCAGTGCAGCCCAGCAGTGCTGCCAGTCAGTGCCACCAGTCAGTGCCCAGCGGTTGTGCCAGTCAGTGCCGCCAGTCAGTGCCCAGCAGTGATGCCAGTCAGTGCCATCTATCAGTACCCATCATCAGTGTCACCTATCAGTGCCGCCTATCAGTGCTGCATATTAGTGCCGCCTATCCGTGACACCTCATTAGTGCTGTCTATCAGTGCCGCCTATCCGTGCTACCTCATTAGTACTGCCTATCAGTGCCCTTTAGTGCTGCCTATCAGTGCCCATCAGTGCCGCCTATCAGTGCCCATCAGTGCTGCCTCATCAACGCACATCAGTGAAGGAGAAAAAATACCTGTTTGAAAAATTTTATAATAGAAACAAAGAAACTTTTTTTTTTTTTTTTTCAAATTTTTTGCAATTTTTTAATTTATAGCGCAAAAAGTAAAGCGCCCAGTGGCGATTAAATACCACCAAAAGAAAGCTCTATTTGTGAGAAAAAAATGATCAAAATTTCATATGGGTACAATGTTGCATGACCGCGCAATTGTCAATCAAAGTGCGGCAGCGCTGAAAGCTGAAAATTGGCCTGGTAAGGAAGGGGGTATAAGTGCCTGGTAGGCAAGTGGTTAAAAATGACCGTGTTACCCAAACTTTTATACCTGTTTGCAACCCTCCCTGTCCCCGTTCCTATGTCCAAACTTCACTCCCTTCAGAAATCTTTCCTACATTTTATTTGGCACAACAAGCGGCACAGGATTGCACGTTCTGTTCTGCTCTCCCCGCGTTCTAGGGGGGGCTTGGGGGCACCGGATATAATAACATACTACTATGCAACTCACCTTCCTTTTCTCATGTCATGGTCTACTCACTATCCTCCCAGCACATGGGCTGAGATCAAATCATTGCAACTGTCCCCAGCTCATCCATGTTCCCTCCTTTGGTCGACCTCAGCAGTGGATGTCTCTTGCGTCCGCCACCTATTCCTTGGTCCCATGCATTTTTCACTGACTGTTTGGCAGAAATGTAAGGCTAAATTTACACTGGCCTCTGAATGCTGCCCATTGACAAACATCCTCTATAACCCTAATCTTCCAGACAATATGGCCATATCCCAGATGTCTCTCTGGGTAGTAGCTAACCTTTTTCAATTGCGTCACTTGGTACACCCGGTGACTCGTACACTCATTCTCGGATCTTCAGAAAAAAAGCTCCTCTACCTTCTCATCACCTATATATATACCTTCAAATACGCCATTTTTTTTCTACCTTATCACCCTCATTGATCCTGGGGAAGCCTACTCCCTTCGAACGTTTATGTATGCAGGGTCCCCACCAAAGGGGTATTATCTCTAATACTTATAAACTCCTTATGGATGCCCCCCCTTTATCCAATGACACTCACCTTTACATGCGTAGGTGGTCTCAATTTGTACAACGTGATATTGATTTATTAACGTGGAAGAAAATTTGGGAAAATGCATCTAGAATCTTCTGTCTGTGTGGTTAAGGAAAATATATACAAGATCATGATGTTATGGTACAAAACTCCTGAAGTTCATCATACTTATAATCCGAATGCTTCCCCTGCCTGCTGGCGCTGTAGTAGAGATCCTGGTTCTCTCTATCATATCTTTTGGACATGCAGCTCCATTGTCCCTTTTTGGGAAGAGGTCCGCTCCTTGTTGCAATCGATGTTGCATATCTCTCTCCCATTTGACCCACTGCATTTTTTGCTGGGCTTGCCATTCCCGGGTCTACCTAAACCAGCCAGAAAACTTGCTGTACATGTTCTGACCGCGGCCAGGAGAAGCATTCCTATGTGTTGGTTATCTTCTACTCCCCCTTCATTGCAGATTTTGTACAAACTTATTGCTGATGTAAGACAGATGGAGTATTTGACTGCATCACATAATTGTTCGTTTGCTGTGTTTAGATGATTTGGCTCCCGTGGGATACCTTCATTTCCTCTATGCCTGCCCAAAATGTAAGACCCTGATTACTTCCGCACTGTTATTATATGATTCCACTGGTCCTGACCATATGTAGTTTTGCCATCGATGTACCTTTCTGTTATGCTTATTTTCTTTCCTTATCTTTTTTAAAACATACTGTTTGTACTTACATGAAAACCAATAGAAATTGTTAATACAAAAAACAAAAAAAAAAAACATTTTTTACTTTCAGCTATAAAAAATATATAGTAAACTCAAAGTTGGTTATAAATCTAGGCCAAAATGTATTCTGCTACATGTTTTTGGTAAAAAAAATCCCAATAAGTGTATATTGATTGCTTTGTGTGAAAGTTATAGCGTCTACAAACTATGGTATAGATACTGCAATTTACGCCATTGTTTTTGCTATACAGCGCTGCGCTAGTTTAACAGACAATTGCGCGGTCATGCAATACGGTACATAAATGAAATTTACATCCTTTTTTTTCCCACAAATTGAGCTTTCTTTTGGTGGTATTTGATCGCCTGTGCGGTTTTTATTTTTTTGCGCTATAAAAAAAAAAAGGCTGACAATTTTGAGGAAAAAAAACGATATTTTGGACTTTTTGCTATAAAACATGTCCAGTAAAAAAAAATTTAAAAATCAAATTTAGTCATACATTTCTGCCAAAATGCATTCTGCGACATGTCTTTGCTAAAAAAAAAACCCAGTACGTGTAAATTAATTGGTTTACGTGAAAATTATAGCATTTACAAATGGCGGGAAAGATACTGGGATTTTTAGTTTTTTTTTATACTAATAATGGCGGCAATCAGCGACTTATGGTGGCGATCAGTGACTCATGGCGGCGATCAGTGACTTATGGCGGCGATCAGCGACGTATGGCGGCGATGGGACTGCGGGACGGACATTCTGACATTGGGGGATACTGACTTGGGGTCACTGACATCCCCAGTGGCACCAATACAGTGATCAGTGCAAAAAAAAAAAACACTGACACTGTACTAATGGCACTGGGGAGGAAGGGGTTAACTTTATTTTTCAGAGAAGGGTTATCTGTGTGAGTGGGAGTGTTTTACTAGGGGGCGGGGGTGTGTGCTGGATGGGGACAGGCTGATCGGGCGAGAGAATCTCTTCTGTCCCAATCAGCTTGTCCTCGAGCTGTCAGGGAAGTGACAGAAAGCACAGCTACTGCAGCTGTGCTCTCTGTCACTGATTGCCGCTGATCGCCACGAGATAGCCAGTAAGGACCGGCTGTGACCCGGCGACTGACATCCGCGTCTGTAAACGGCGGGACAGGTAGGGCGGCGGCGCGCCCCCTACCTGTTTACAAAACACACGTTTTAAAAACGTGGTTTTGCCTGCCCGTGCCGCCCTGCCGCCGTATTTATACAGTGGCTGGGTGGCATGTGGTTAATAATTCACAATGAATAAACAGTTTTAGCACCATCAAGAGCTATTGATAGCAGCCTTGCCTGCACTGTATTTTTTACAGCTACTCTATTAAATACTGGGCGTATGTCAGTATAGGAGCCCATTTCACAGTTAATCTTTTATAACTAGAACCCTGTGTAACACTTGTAGCAGTTTACTGTCCATGTCCGGGCTGGTGTTTTCAAAGGAAATCATTTTCTCACTTTTGAAACAATGGATTGATTAAGAGCTAGTATTAGAGAAAAACAGTCACTAGAGAAAGATGGGTGCAGGTCATTGCTAACCTCTCTCTGAAAATGCTAATTTCAAATTTTTTAGTAAACTCTGACTCAAGGATTGAGGACAAGTATGCAGGCCAAGGGTTCAGGCTTTACTTGCTGCATATCTCTTCCAGTTCAGTCATAGGTTTTGCACCCTAGCCAGGCAACAGACAGACTAATGTCACAAAGGCAGCCTATGTATTTCTTGCATGTCATGTTATAAGGTAATGATCAGTGGTCTGAACATACTTTGAAGCCACTGCAGGTTTGACTTTGAATACCCTAATTTTTAAATCCCTTGCCTTGCTTGCAGTGTCTTCCAAACACTCGGTCGCCACTATAAGCTGCTCTTTCAGCAAGTCTCATTTTAACTCTGCCTTTTTCCTCTTCAAATTCAATATGTAGCACATGCAGAAAGTGCAAACCAAAGACAGCTATTGCCCACATCTCTCCCTTACTGAATCCAAAACTCCTAAGACTAAAATCTGAGGAACAATCAGAGACACCATCACCCCAAGCTCTGGTCAAAGGAGAAGCATACCTAGTGAGCTCCTTTTCAACAGACATCCACTTACTGTCTCTGGTCCAGGTAGGCAGGGTGTACACCTCATGGATACCAGAAACCAAGGTGGCCTTGCTTTTCCTAAACAGTGTATACAGCATTTTCTCAGCACAAGCAACAGAACACACCACAGAATACAGATCTGCTTCAGTTGAACTTTAGCACAAATAATAGCATAAGCCCCCAATTATTTTACTTGGTGTCTATTAAAGTTTTACTAAACCCAGGACCCAGAATTCACTATATCTGGTTTCCCACAGTACACAAAACATGGAAATGCAATTATTTTAGTAAATATAAACTGCTAAGTACCTTTTCTCATCAGCAGTTAGAGCAGTCTTGTGACTTCTATCAGTGGCCAGCTGAGCACACGATAAAGCTTGGAGGAGTTTTCATTCCGCTCTAGGAAGATGCAGGACCCCTGACTCTCTGTCTGCACAGTGCTGATTGGCCCAGTGCTGATCACATACACCCTCTTAAGAACATAAAAAAATTCTCTAGCAATACACATCAAACTGAGCATATGCAGAGTGACTCCACTTGATATGTCTTATCAGGAGATAAGAGAGGGACACTGGAAGAAGGAGAGGATCAGATAAGTCAGGATCAAGCAGCAATTTTACACAATGCAGAGGATTAAGCCCTTAGGTTCAACTGTGAGTATAACAAGCATGCTTTACTGCATATACAGACTGATTTTACTGTTGTGGGTTTAGTAACGCTTTAAGGTCACTTTGCGGTATAAGCCAATGAAGTAATTAAAACTCTATAGTGTGTTAATATTTGCTTTACTAAACAGAAAGACTGCACATACATCTGCAGGAAAAACAATGTATAGCATACAAGTTATTAC